TTCTTCTTGTATTGCTGTTAAAAATGTCAATGGTAGAGCTGGAAGAAAATTGGACTGGTCTCATTGCAGTTTCATCCATTTGCCAGTAATAGTACTCAAGGACCTGGGTTTTGTCATCTGTTCCCTTGCCTGCACAACAGAGTAATTCCTTTGCTGTAGCTAATGCTACTTCACAAATTGCCATATTTTGTTAAATATACAGAATTAATGACTTTATAGAGACTGAATTACATTTGAGTGCTCTAAACAATCTATCATCTCTCCAGCCACCTGATCTTCACTTCCACATTTAATGCTATGACAGATTGAAAAGCTTACTACCAAGGTACTTTTAGATAAAGGATTGAAGTTTGGGTTGAAACTCAGTGTGCAGAAATCTAAAGAGACAGCAGCCAGGAGGCAGAAGAGATTACTAAGCTCTAGACGTAAGTGACTTCAAGTCTATGGTCAACAGTTCTGCATCAAATAATTTGGAGGCACAGCTGGATAGCTTGCTTTAGAGTGAGGCAGGACCCCGACCATACTTGAGTCAGGAGTAAATTATAATTACAAGAGGTGCAACAATGTAATAAGGACGTGTCATTTATTTGATTTTTTTTAATGCTGTTGCATTGTTTCCAAGGAGAGATCACCAGGTCTCTTCAAGGTTGCATGGTCTAAACGATTTAAACAAATCCACACTGCACTCAATTTACGACCAGGTATATCCAGAGGTCTACTTGAGGCAAATTACTTTGCTGTACACTACGAATCACTGGTGCTTCTCCAAAACCAGAAAAACCATTAAAGAATAACTGGCTTCCTTTCTCTTACCTCAAATGCAATGTACCTGTCAAGAAAAATTAAGGTCACAAAGTCTAACTGTAGAATAAAACTCAACCTCTGGTCAATTAGAATGCAATTAGCTTTGGTGAGGAAACATTATGGATTGCATAAGCCACCAATCAGTTACTATTTTTAAAGTTAACTTAAACAAATATTACCAGTTTTCAGTTTCATGTTAACGGAAGAATAGTTTCACCCGAGTAGAATATTTGGGATTTTCAGTTCAGAACTGCAGTTTCATCCTGATAGTGGGGCAGTTTGTTAGGCTTGCAGAATTTCCAGGTCGTGACAGCTTGTAGAAGTGACTTGTTTGTCAGAACTGAAAAGATACTTAGGCCCTCAGAATTGAAAGGAGGTTCAGGCCATCAGAACTGGAAAGAAGGTTTAAAGCTGCTTTAGCAGGCCATGGAAGAAAATGGGAAAGAGTCAGTTAAGTAAGAATCTAAGAGTTATGATGGAAGAGATACTTCACTGCCACTGAGCATCTGTGAAGGACTTTGTTGGGAAACAGACTTAAACTTTGTTTTGCTCCTTATGTTAAGCTTTTTCTCAATTTACCTAATATATATAGCTCTGTTTTTCTTTCTCTTGTGTAATAAATTTTTGTCATTTTGTTAAAGAACATAGACAGCCTTGCGTGATTATATTCAGTAAGTAACCACCTGTTATTCACCTGCAAAAATATACCCAATGATCTATCAAAATACGTTTCCTTCTGGTATATGACTTATCCAGTATTTTCATCAGCTGGGATCAAAACACAAGACTTTGGTGAAAGAGGAGGAAATGTAACCACAAGAAGGGATTAAAATGAACATGAACGCAGCATTGGACAGGCTATCTATCTGTACTTAGAAGCTGACCAAGCAACTGTAGGTCAATCAGTTTAAATTCAGTGGTTGGAAAATGTCTAGAAACAATAATTTGGGACAAAACTGATTGTGACATGAACAAACTCCAATAATAAATCCGTGCTGGCTCACCTCAAGGGCAGGTCAACAGGTCAATCCATGCCATCTCCACTTTAACTAACATACTGGATATTTTTGATAAGGTGACTGAAGGTTGATCAGGATAATATGTGGTGTATACTGCATGAGCAGGGTTCTAGGGAGATCGCAGAAAATGGCTAAAGTGAGACCGTTTAGAGAGCAGTTGCAGATATGATGGCCTAAATGGCCTTCTGCTGTGCTATAACAATTAAAGAGTCAAAATTATAAAGCATGGAAACAGTACCTTCAGTCCAATTCATCTGTGTCAACCAAACATTTCAATCTGACCTAGTCTAATTTGCCAGCATTTGGTCCATATCCCTTTAAACTCTTCCTTTCATGTACAGTACTGTTACGAGGTTGGGTAGAGTAATTGTGAGTTGGAAGGGAGGAAGCTAAAATGTGTGGTTCCTTTAAGAGATTTGTGCTTTATCTGTACCTAGAAATTTAAAAAAAAAACTGTACGTCTGCAAGCAACAGCTGAAGTTGCCAGTACAGACAGCCTCAAAAAGTGAAACAAGTGTATCAAAAAAAGCCTTACAGGCAGCAGGCAAAACAGCAGTCTTGTTTTGATATTGTGACAACAAGTTTAAATTTGGCCAATTAATTTAAAACCAAACTGAGCGATTCAAAGCCAATTGAATTTAAAGCTGAGGTGTTGACAACCTGAAACCAATCATACTACAAGAATGTGATTACGTCATTACAGGTATACAAGACGAGGGCATTTGGAAAAATCGGAGAGAGCCAACTGTCATCGGAAAGACATAACTGCCACCTGCCAGAGTTACCATCATTAAGCTCTCAGAGAAAGCCCACCTAATTAATCAAAAGTACCACAGTATTTTATGCTTAAAGTCCTCATTGAAGAAATTATAGGGATAAAACTTCCCTGACAGCAGAATTAACAGAAGAAAGGCGTTTGTGAAGAAACTGGAAAAGACAGAATATTCCAGAAGACAGCATTCCAGCAGAACTTAGACCAGATAGCAATTAGTTAGTAGTCTGGGGCGGGAGGAGGTGAATTGTCGGTTTGTTAGTAATTTTGTTAATTTGTTCATTGTTGGGTTAAATAAATATTGTTTCTTGTTACTTTCTTTCTTTTAACCACTCTTTTAATAGATTATGAGGAGAAAGGCGAGCTTCTCCAAGTGTTTAGGGGGTAATTATTAGAGGGGAACCCCTGCTCCTTTCATTATAGATCAGGGTTTGTGTTTTAGTTTAATTATCAGAGGGGTTTGAACAATCCCCATTGTAACAGTACCATCCAGTTGCATTTTCAATACTGTAATTTTACCCACTTCCACTGGCAGTTCATTCCTCACACGCACAACCCTCTGCATGAAAAAGTTACCCCTCAGGTGTTTTTTTAAACCATTCCCCTCTCACCTTAAATCTATGCCCTCTAGTTTTGGACTCCACATGATTCTTCATAGGCCATTCCTCAGATTCAAGGATGACTTGCTTCCACTCTACCGCAACGAGGACTTCTGAGATGTTTAATACATCCAATGTCAGATCTGCAGACTTTGCCTTATATGGGGGAGGTTTGGTTGATCACAAGTCAAGGACTTCCACAGGTCAGCAGGGAAGTCGGATCGTTTCCAGGATGCATCGAGAACATCCCTGCAGCGTTCCTGCTATTTTCCTGGAGGGTTTCCTGCTATAACAGAGTTCTGACTCTGGTATCAAGCATATGAATGTCATGTCTTGACAGCATTAATGGTTTTGATTTATTGGCACTTCAATTCTGCGTATTTGTTGGCTTAGGAGAGGATACTATTAGACCACCTTATTTGGATCTTTCAAAGGTACCACTGATGTGTGTAGGAAGGCAAATTCACAATTGCCTAGTAAACCATGACCTTAGTTTCATGTTTAAGAGCCTGATGTTCAAATACATTTTTCCTCAGTTGGCTGGAGGCTGAGTTGGCCAATTGGAGGTGGCAACAAATTTTGTTATGTCGGGTTGCCTTCTTTGAGAGAGGTCTCTCAAGGGAACTTCCTCTTGACAAAGGCAGGCTTCATCCCTTAATCAAAACATAAAAACCACTTTATGTGGCCATTAGCACACAGCTTTTTATGGGAGTTTGCTGTGTGCAAATTGATTGCTGCATTTCCTAAATTACAACAGTAATTATACTGTAAAAATACTTCATTGGCTTTAAAACACTGACATAACTGGTGGTAATGAAAAACACTATGTAATGCAAGTTGTTCTTTCTTTAATTATTTGTATATTTTTCTTCTTTACGTGATATCTCCTGCAATACTATGCTCCTGAAGCAGAACATTTTGGTTTTGTTCGTGACATGACCAATAACAATATTGCTCCAGTAGTGGCTGTCAAAAATTACATTTTTGAGCATGATTTATTGGAAATTTATGCAAAGGTACTTTTGTAAATATTTAAATACATTTTAGAATATTGAGCACAATTCCTTATGTTTAGAATCGATTTTAAAAAAAAACAGATTCCAATTTGTTGTTCATCCATCAAAATGCTTAACACAGCATGGACCACATTTTGAATCAAGTGTTTAAAAAAACCATTTGCCAAACATGGAACTTGGCATCAAAAAGTCCAAGTTTTCTAAAATAAGAAAATTATTTCATAACTAACAGAAGAGTTTTGTGTTTCATCCAAAAATCGTATCCTGGGATTTTCTTTTTAAGTTTTGATTTAATATGTCAGTTTGGAGGTGTTCAGAGCTTACCAAGAACATGACTTGACACGTTTAAAGAACATCCAGCACTGCAGTTAATCACAACTCGTTTGGAAAACTACATAACTTCTTTGCCTTTCTGGACAACCTGCACAAGCTAAGCTCCCAACTGCAGCCAGATCATGCATCACAAATCATTCAAGGTAAACTCTTCTCAAAATGAAAACTCAACCCAGATCACTCCTATTGATCACTTCCCAACAGCCGACTTTAGCAATGAACTAGTGAAAACTGTCTCTCGCACTGTTGGCTATTGATGAGTAATGGCATATTGAATCATCCTCTTAAATCATCAGGTTTTACTTCAGTTGCAAGTTAGAGGAGACCTAATGAAGCATTCAGAAAAAAAAAGAGAGTACATTTCAATGAATGGCCAAAGTGCACACAGAGAAGCATTCATGTGAAAAAGCAATTGGGCAATTTACAGGCATGCTAGGTTGGTACACGAGGGAGAAAGTAATCAAAGGATATGCCTATAGGATCAGTGGAAGAGAAACGGAAAAGGCCCTCTCCATGGAATATTAATACTAGTCAAAACTGCCTGCTTCTGTGTTTCAGACTCTTTGGAATAAAGCACCTTAAAAACTGAAACCAAGCTGTGGCTTAGAAAGAGGACCAGGCATGATTAAACTAAGTAACTATGCCACGAATAGGATCAGTGCATCAAGTTTCACACCACCATAAGGGAGGCTATTTGTAAACCAAAGGTGTGCAAAATTCAACTTGCCGCCTTTCTAATTCAATGGATGGCGGAACGTTTTACACAATCAGTTTAATTACTTTTTGAATCACAACATACTTGACATTTTCAATTACTTATACTCATTATTATCCTATTTAAGATTAGCACAAATCTTCCAACAGTCTGACACATTAAGTCTCTATTCAGCTAGCCATAATAAACCTTTCACAACTTAGCTTGGTATGCTCTGAATAACTGAAAAGTAATTTTCCCTTTAAAACATCTGTATTCCTCAAAAACAAACCAAGGCAGACTTCTGTAAATATGGTTAGCAAATTAGTACAATATTTTGGAGATTAATAAGTTTCATATGCTATTTAAGTAAAATATTTTGATAGCATTAGTTTTTGCAGGTATTTTGAAAGGAACCAATCCTCCACAAAAAAAATCAGAGAACACCCACTTCAATACACACTCACTCACTACAACTCTTTTCAAAGCTAGTAATAACTGTGAAAGCCATACCTGTAGGATATTATTTCCTTGAGATGGTTAGAAAGTAGTTTCCCTCCTACATTAATCCTAAGGAGAAAAGAATACAACTAAATTATTTTGGGCTTTCCTTAGGCAGTAATATATCCAACACATCCACATTCAGTCACTCCACTACTAATGCTCAGCAGCAGCAATGTGTACAATCTGCAAGACACATTGCAGAAATTCACCTAATATTCAAACGGATAATGTTGGAATTCAACTAACCAAAAGCAGGTATCCTACCAACGTACAGCACTAGCAATTCCTCGTCCAATTCAGCAATATGGTGCTACAGCTTGCCAGGTGGACTACAGACATCAAAGAATTCCCAGCCACAATTGACAAAGGTTAATGGCATCACAAAGCAAGAATTTATCGCAGTAGTAGCCAATGAAAATGCAAATACTCTCTTGCAATGCATTTATATATTTAGCAGAAATAGCACCAGCAATGACAATGCTAAAATTTTCCCCTCCTACACCTTTACTGACCCTTCAAGTTCCATCAATAAGGCAGAATGGTAGGTCAGTCACAAATATGTTCTGATTCTTTGAGTGACGTGCTGGATTATAGTCTGCATTAATGATGGCTTTAGTTTCAATCTCTCAGTAGCAAGAAAATAATTTTGAAGTCAGCACAATCCCAGAGTACTCACTCACCTCTCTCTTCTCACTCCTGAGAAGATATACAATAGTTACTAGCTAAACTTCTGTGCATTTTGTTAAATACCTGAGAAACCAATTAATATAGATACAAAATATTTCATATTGCATAATAAGTTTCAAAGTGTTGATTTTACCGAAGTGAACATGATTTAAAGTTTTAACGACGTCATTCAGATTTACCTGCAAATACCTTCATTCATCTTTTTTCCTTTACAGTAAGGAACAATATGTGTGAAAGAGTAACCGGTATCCACCACAAGACAGCAGAGTTCAGATTTATTTTCTTCAAAATACTTGTAAGCACTGAGTGACCCAGCTGAAAAACACATTCAAAATATTGAAATCATATTACTAGTTTTAAAATTGTATCAAGTAATCTATTACTGAGACTAATTGACCCTGTTAGAAAAAATATCAAGTATAAATGGTCACCATTTGTTCTGTAAACTGCTTGAAACTGGTATTCTTCAAATAAGATTTCATTCATTGATTCTTGAATGGAGTTAAAATTGAAATACGGCTCAGTGATGATTATATTGGTTTCAGGAAAGTCCACCTGCAAAGACATTTTAAGATATTTAATTACAGTCTGACAAATCTCTATTGGCTGTTCAAATCACGTGAAGAACAGTCTCTGACATTAGCTCTGATCTACACATTTGGAAACCTGTCAAGCATGGGAGGGAAAAATACTATTGTAACACAATGGCTGTTACAGTGACCACTAATGCAGTCATCTTTAGTACGTCTCTTGATGTCAAGTGTGCAACAGAAGAACTAGGCACCTATACATGGATACAGCTGTGGAAAACAGTTTTACATGTTTGGTTCTCTATTATGAAACTATTGTAGTGCTGTATCCATATAACTAGATATTCAAAGAGATATATAACGAGCTTCAAAAAGAAATCTCAAGATCGCACCCCACCTCTCACTTCACCAATATTTATAATCTACATTTATGTATTCCCCTTCATAACTGCATGATATCAATTACTTACTTTTGAAGTTTAGTCACTTCAGATCGAAGTAAATGTCTGTATTGTTCTTAAAGTACAATAATAGTTGGACTGTGCTTCAAGAACAGACGGATGCATGGTGTGTTAAGGGATGAATAAAATAACAGCAATATTAAAATTACTTTGCTCAGCAAAAAAGTCTGCAGGAAAAATACAAACATTCAGGGACTTTGGAGAGGAGAAATGAGATCTAGTGGCAACTTGCATGAGGTGTTCTGAGAGGCAGGGTGGTGACTGCAGATGAGGACAAGAAGACAATACTTGAGAAGAATACAGTGTACAATATCAGTGTGTCGCACATCATCCTCCCTCATTGTTAATAGTTTCCCTGCAACATCTTATAATTACTTTTCATTGGTTCAAATCATCCCTTTCCTACTACTCCTATCTTGCTGAGTTCCTACAGCTTTACAACCCTGCAAGAATTTTGCATTTCTCTAACATTGGTCTCTTGCACATCCTTCATTCATTTCGCCCACCACTGATAGTCATATCATGAGCCATAACTGTCGAGCTCTCTCTGTTTAAATCTATCTGCCTTTCCACCTTTACAACCTCCTTTAAAGCTACCACTGCCCAAGTTTTAAGTCCCTAAATATTAATAGTTCTTTTGGGTTGGTGACAAGTTTTGCCTGACTCAGGCTCCTGTGAAACACCTTGGGAAATTTTCCTAGATTAAAGGCAGGTTATTGTTGCTCTTGCAGGGCCATACGTTTGATGTGTTGTTGGATCTGAAGGAACACAAAGACTCTTGTGCTTGACAGAATAACAACTAGTTATTAGATAAGACAACTGAACTCAAGAATGTGGTCAAGCAAGGGACTTTTACATTTGAAAAATGGAATCTGAGATCCACCAGGGCACTCACTGGTATTGACTGTCACTTGGAAGACAGTGTTGAAGAATCAGAAGTTAGGTTCACAAAGTAAGAATCACCACAATCTGACCGAGCACCTACCTTGTACATTTCTTTGCCAAACAGGTGATCCCATACTTGCCTCTGTACATCCCAGTTGACCAAGTAGCCCTTAAAAAGAGAAATCATAGGATAGTATAATGTAAACTGTGCATGCAGTGATTTAAAAAAAAAACAGCATTTCTGAACACTGAAATCAGAAGTTGCCTTTTCATACCTAAAAACTTTTCACACAATCCAATATGGTCACTAATATAGTTGAGGTTGTAATTTTATCCAGATCAAAGACAGAAAAAAGAAAGTGAGGTAAATAAACAGTGATAAAACATATAATCATAAAACAGTGACAGCCGAAAGGAAGGCCTCTGGCTTATTAAGAACATGCCAACTCTCTGCAGGAACAACTTTACTAATCACACTTTTCTTCTCTTCGCACATAAATCATAGAATGCCTACAGTGCAGATAGAGGCCATTCAGCCCATCAAGTCTGTTGTCAAAATAGCATAGCACTCACGACCCAGTGAATCCCTGTAAACCCATATTACCTTGACTAATCCAACTCGCCTGCACATCCCTGGACACTAAGGATAATTCAGCATGGCCAATCAACCTACCCTGCAAAGCTTTAGACCGTGGGAGGAAACTGGGGCACCCGGAGGAAATCCATACTGACATGAGGAGAAGGTGCAAACTCCACACAGACAGTCCCAAGAAGGATGGGAGGAGGTTTGATGGCATATGAATTGATTGGGATGAAGGGATTCTTCCTATGTGCATATTCAATATGATAAATAAGAAAGTCAACAACAGCGGTTTTCATTAAATTCATTATTTTCATGAAATTCATCATTTCAGTAAATTGAATTTTCATTAATTCAGGTTCAGTCTGCCTGAAAGAAGGGCCTTGGTACATTGTCTGCCAATGCTTCAACCTGACCAGTTTTCTTGGCAGTTTATTTCAGTGGTGGTTTCCAATTCCCATCCAGTCTCAGGGCCCAGGGCAAGAAGTAAGGTCCCAAGTTGACCTAAGCCAGAGCAGGAATTAAACCTGCAATCTGTTGGCACATATTCACCATCTAGGTCCCATTTTTGATGCAGCATTAGGCATTTGGAAATTAAAATGTAAAAGTTTCAGACTGTTGTAAGTGTACCTTGCCTTTCAGGGGGCTCACATTTAAGGATTCCATGTGCTGTGTGTATACAATATTATGACTCGGCCTGCTAATTAATCTGTTGTGTTTCCAAGTTGCAGACAGAAAATTTGGTTTGCTGCAACGTCTGCTTTTTAACTAATGCTGTTTTCTTGTTTTAAATATACTAACCCACAGAATCAATCAATCCCTGATGACAGACTATATATTAGACTGTTATCACTACCTTGGCAAACTGAAATTTACATGCCTAAATTCTGAAGTTGCATTACCACACTCCACAACATCCAGACGAATGTACTCTGCCCAGTTACTAGTGCTAGATCTCTGTCTGAGTCCACTAAAACTGTACAACACTGGAGAAGGGAACTCACTCACTGCAGTTCCAGTAGGTCCCTCCTCCCTTTCCCAGGTTCATCCTCATTCAGTCACAGAGGTACACAAAGCTGCAGCAACTTGACTGCAAACTTACACATTAACAATCCCGCCTCAGGGCAGTATAATCAGGTCAGGCACCCACCTTCTGGAAGGGGAGAATGTAATACAGGCCAGAGGGATCCTTGATCTCATCGATCTGGTTGGAGGTGAAGGTTTTGAGACGAGCAGTCCTGGACCGGAACTGGCAGTTGGGCAAAACACTACAGAAGAAGAAGGGAGAAGAGATCAGAGTAGTTTGGGCCTTTCAGCAGAGGGGAGTCCTGGAGTTGGGGTCTCTGTTCCCTCCCCACCTTCGCTCACTCCGACCCTGACCTTCAATGTCACCCACGCTCTCAATCTCAAATCCTCCACCACCAACATCATCATCATCATCATCCCCCACCTTCAGAGTGTACCTCACCCCACCCACCTTCACTGTCACCCTTACCTCATCCTCAATCTCTCTCTCATCCTCAACCCTTCCCTTCCCTTCCCCCCCCCCCCACCCCCTCCCCCTCCCCACCCTCACCCTCACCCTCACCCTCACATCACTATCATCCCCACTCTCACCCCCAGCCCCACCAGCATCTTCACTCCCGACTCTCATCCCCATCCTCAATCTCAATCTCTCACCCTCATACCCCGGGTCATGAGGGACCATACGCTCACGCTCACCCCTACCCATCCCCCACCTCACTCGCTTGTCACTGAAGCCAATCTTCGCTGTACTTGCACCATTATCCAGCACCAAGGTCTCCATTACCGCCCCTCCGCTCAACCAAACACCGCCGTCTCACCGTCCAACCAATCACAGCCAGCCCTATCCGCCCAATCACCGTCATCTTCCCCAGCCCAACTAATCAACAAGCGTTCCTGTCCATCCAATCACCGACGCCTTTCCCAGTACAACCAATCACAGACATTAGAGTGGGTATACTCCTGGGCAGGCTTTCCAGTGTAACCAATCACAGTTGCTGGAGTCTGTCCAATCACGATCACTCTTTCCCATTACATCCAATCACTGTCGCTTCTTCGCCCAACCAATCAGCGCTGCCCTTGTGCCCACCCAATCAGCGCCACTTTAGCATTGCCCATTGTTCCGGAGCCTGGGAGCGGATGGAGTTCGGGTTTGGAGTCCAGGTGACAGTCTGAGCATAGATCATTCGGTTCATCTAATCCATGCTGCTTCTGAGCTCCCTCCCACATTTATATAAATCGGACATGAAAGCCTTTCATTCACTTTCCTCTTATTGGTTTAGTTAGCTTCCCCTTAAATGTGTCTATCATATTCTTCCTTAAGGCGAGGTGACCAGACGCCCTGGTTTTGCTGTGACTGTCCCAATTAAATGTCCCTATGCCCTTACCGCTTTCCTGAAAACAGTTCAAATATTCAGCTTTCTGATTCATTCAAGTTTAAATTCTCTGTGATCTTGCATTGGACAACCCTGCGGATGTTGGTAGGCATTGTGGATTAGGGATGGCGATGACGAGACAACGAAGTAAACCTTGTCCAGGAGATGTTTCTCTTCCAGTGCTTTCTGAATTACCTCATTGCTTTCATTAAACTAAACTTGATGATTACAAAAGGGAGGCACAAAGACCTTTGACCGCATGACGCAGGAGTAGAAGTAGTCCATTCAGTTCATTGAGTCTGCTCTGCTATTCAATGACATCATGGCTGATGACTCTAAACTCTAATTTGGTGCCTTTTCCTTATAAGCTTTGATTCTCTGACCCTCTGTCTCAGTCTTGGTGTCGTATGATTTTACACCTTCTTCACCCTTGCCCAATTCCTGCATCTCCACATCATATCTCAGTCTTGAATATGGCTAACAATTCAGCCTCAGCAGCACTGTACAATATAGAATTCCACAGATTCCCTACCCTCTGAGAGAAGAAATTCCCTCTCATATTCTAAAATGTGCAGCCCTTTGTTCTGAGATTATGCTGTCTGTGCACAGGTGACTCCCAAGTTTTTCTGAGAAAGATTAATTGGTGGTATAGTGGACATTGAAGAAAGTTATCTAAGATTACAAAGAGATCTTGACCAATTGGGTCAATGGGCTGAGGAGTGGCAGTTGGAGTTTAATTTGGATAAATGTGAGGTATTGCATTTTGGTAAATCAAACAAGGGCAATTATTCAATTAAAAGTAGGGCCTTGGGTAGTATTATAGAACAGAGAGACCTAGGGGTTCAGGTACATAATTCTTTGATGTTTGTGTCACATGTAGAGAGGGTGGTTATGAAGGTGTTTAGCATGCTTGCCTTCATTGCTCAGACCTTTGAGTTTAGGAGTTGGGACACTATTTTGAGGTTGTACAGGACATAGGTGAGGCCTGTTCTGAAGTGTCCAGTTCTGGTTGCCCTGTTATAGGAAAGATGTTAGTAAGCTGGAGAGGGTTCAGAAAAGATTTACCAGAATGTTGCCAGGAATGGAGAGTTTGAGTTATAAGGATAGGCTGGGACTTTTTTCACTGGAGCATAGGAGGTTGAGAGGTGACCTTATAGTGGTTTATAAAATCATGATGCGTATAGATAAGGTTAATGGCAGGTGTTTTTTCCTTAGGGTGGGGGATTTCAAGAGTAGGGGGCATATTTTAAAGTTAGAGGAGAAAGACTTAAAAAAGACGTGAGGGGCAATTTCTTTACACAGAGAATGGTTCGTGTGTGGAAGGAAATTCCAGAGGAAGTGGTGGATGCAGGTACAGTTACAATGTTTAAAAGATGTTTGGATAAGAACAAGAAATGTTTTCACAGATATGAGCCAAGTGCAAGCAGGCAGGACTAGATTAGTTTGAGATTATGGTCAGCATAGATGAGTTGGACTGAAGGGTGTGTTTTCATGCTTTATGACTATTATTGTCTGTTTGAACATTGAGACTGTTCTGGGTCTTCATACCCTGGGATGTCTAAGGGGATAGATCTTGATGTTTAACTTTGAAATGATAATACAGTGGTCAGTCCAACAGTCAGCATCACACACATGGCTTTCATTCCAAGCACATCCTACCTCTCCCTCTATCTAGATATAACGTAGTACACTATATGTATAGAATGGGAGTGTATCCAAGGGGAGGCTGAAAACTGTGTAGTTGGTTAAGAGCTCATGCTCATTGCACAGCTTCAGCAAGAGCAAATCATTATAATTACCATCATTTGCTTTCCAAAGATCCCTTCTCATGTCCAGTGATCTGCACCAAGTCTTGCATTAAAATCTCTGGAAATGATTAGCTTATCTGACTTTGGCATAGTAAGAATCCAGGAGTGGAGGTCACCCGTTAACTTCATTAGTGTTTGTCATGGTGATAGCATATACACTAATGAGAGCTGCGAGCTTGTTGCTGTTCCGTGGGGAGTTTAAACATCATCAGATGATTATTACACCACTGGGAAAGTAATTCAATTTACTGATGGGATGGTTCATCAGCCTACGTCAGCTTTACACTGTACTTTTTTTTCTGTGACTGCAAATGAATGTGAGACGATATGTAACCTCCTCCGACTTCCTTGAAGTGACCGTTCTCAGGGTGATGAGCCTCACTGAAGGCCACCATCTGGACTTTGCACCGAGGCGGCTCTCTACTGGCTAGCAGCTCTTCTCTCAGGTCTGCTGACTCTGGCATTGTCTGTCGTGATGTGAATGATCAATGTCCCTTTTACTTTCATTTTATGATTGGCTTATATCAGTGTTGATGGGATCCCTGCCAGCTGTGGACTGCTAACTAATAATGTGAAGTGGAAAGGGTTTAGCGCATCTCTGCTCTCCCATCCTCATTTTCGGGGAGTTGCATTCCTAAAAATAGTTGTTCAGTCACTTAGTGGGTTGCAGAATTCCACTTCTGCTTCTTTGCAGTGTAAAAAACATTTTAGCCTGAGGCACTTCTGTGCAAAGTCTTGGTTGCAGCTCCCAGTGAATCCATATCTGCTGCTAAATTGCCCACCTATCATGACAGGATACAGGACAAGTGGATGATGGATGACAAATGATGAACATAACTTGTGTATGAATTAGGTTATAGTGAGGGAGAGTGTTCATGTTTGAAAGTTTACTTCCTTTTGAGTAGGGCAATTTTTTGGTATAACTTGGTATTTCAAGGTTAGTGGAGGAAATTCCCTGATCATCCCCCATTACCCAAATGTGCCTGTGTGATGGACATATAGAAGGCTGAAATATAAAGAACATGTTTGTAAGCTCTGAACTTTTCTAATTTGAATTTAACCTCAAATACTGTAGAAGTTAATCATTAATTTTAATGAAGGGTTTCTATTGTAGATTTTTTTTAAACCAGCCTCAGAGATGGGATTACAGTTGTGGACCAGGTTAGATTGAAACCAGGTCTCCAGCCCAGAGGTAGGAATGCTACAACTGTGCCATAAGAACGTACATTATATAGTGTATAGTGAGTATTGTGAGTGTATAGTTCAGACTGGATATATTCCTGTAAGTACTCCTCCCATTTTAAATCCATGTTTATATAGCACTAATTTGGAAACACATTAGGCAATGGTGAGACTGTAATCCTTTGCTTCTGACATGAAGTGTGGGTTTCACTAGTAATGCAGAGTAGCATAGAGAACAGTGTAGTAACAATATATATTAGTTTACCACTGACAAAACCACTTGTCGTACTTATACAGGCTGTTAAAGTGCTGTAATTTCCTGTTTTGAACTCTGGTGTGTTTTTATTTCTACTGCTAGATGAAAATAATGAAACATGAATATATTTTGCAGCTAGGTTTCTTCATAATCTGGAATGCAATTGAAAGAATTCTATTGAAATTGTTGTCTTTATTGCTTCGTTGCCTTTCAGATTATTGCATAGATTCAACATTATAGAACTTCATGTTGCTTTCCGTTATCCTCGATCAGCATGTGACTGTATTTATGTCAATGGAAGGAGGAACTATCTCGGCTTACAACTAAAACACCTTTAGTCAGGGTTCACGCAATGCCGGCAGCACTGCCAATGCTTTAAAGATTTATTTTTCTATGGGACATGGGTTTTATTGCTGACAAGCATTTGTTGCCTGTCCCTAATTACCCGAGAGAAGGTCCTGGTGAGCTGTCTTCTTGCTCCATTACAGTCCATGTGGTGTTGTGTCCTCTCAGTACTATGAGGGAGGGAGTTCCAGGATTTTGACCCAGCAACACTGCGTGGATGGTGATATAGTTCCAATACAAGTTGGTGTGTGGCTCAAAGGGGAAGTTGCATGTAGTGGTGTTCCCTGCTGCCTTTGTCCTTTTAGTTGCTAAATGTTGCATGTCTAGAAGATGCTGTCGAAAGACCTTGCTGCAGACTATTAACTAGAATGTATTAATGATTGAACCAGGAACACTGAAAGTTCTAGAATTGAAATGTATAAAGTTTCACAACACAGCAACACATAGTGTAAGACATTATAAGTGTCGAAATTATTAACCTAACAATTCTCCTTTATGTTGAAGTAGCAGCTGGAGAATGAGAGTATTTTCCCATTTGAAGGTACAAACTGAGTTGATTAGTGGTCAGTAAATTTAAGGAGCCAGGTTTCTGATCCGAAAACCGTTTTACCGAAACTGATGAAATAAAAATACACATTTACCTTTAGAGGAGTTCTCCATCAAACCTCACAGACAAGGAACCTGCCCAGCTGACCAATGTAGTCCAGGAACCCATGCTGCCAACATTGTTGTGAATCAGCATCGAAACCACACGTATTTTTTGTGACAGTTCCTGTTGTATTTCCAAGTTTTAAAGATCCTGAAGCCATAACTACTGAGAGAATATTTATTTATATGACCATATTTATATGGCTCGTCCAGTT